TCAATACAAGTTTATTGATGCCATATTTGAAATAAATAGGTTAAACAAAAATAAAACTCTCATCTCAAAGATTGCAAAAGAGAGATTTTTTTTAAAAAAATTTTATAGAGCAGGCTCCATGCAAGGACCTTTTTTCTGAAGCCACTTCTATTCAATACAAGCTTATTGATGATTCCATATTTGAAATAAATAGGTTAAACAAAAATAAAAATGTGTTTAGCTTTCTAAAAAAAGAAAATGCTATTGAATTCCTTTATCAAAGTTTTAAATATACAAATAACATAAACAATATAAGCGTGCACTAATCAAACAACTCATATATCCATTCACACGAAGGTATTGAAAAAGAAGCTGTTTCATATTTCTCCTTTTAAGTGCTTTGAAATCTCATTCATTCTCTCATAGCGATGTAACAATTAGTCGTGAGCTCACTGAACATGATTATGAGCTTCTTTAAGGGTGAGGTTACCAACGAGGAGATTGAAAGAAGGTATTGAAAAAGAAGCTATTTCATATTTCCCCTTTTAAGTGCTTTGAAATCTCATTCATTCTCTCGTAGTGATGTAACAATTAGTCGTAAGCTCACTGAGCATGATTATGAGTTTCTTTAAGGGTGAGGTTACCAACGAGGAGATTGAATGTGCCTTTTCAACATTATATCTATTAAAATGCTTAACCCATATAGTTTTATCTCAAAATTTTTCAAGGATACACGACCGATCACTCACTCCTCTCACATTCAGGCCATCAAATATCTTTTTCACTTCTTTTAAAATCCCCAACAAAATCAAGCTTTCAAGCATTACACTTATCCCTAAAAATCTCAAATGTTAAATCTTTTGACAATTACAATGCAATATCACTTTATAATACCGCTTATAAGGTCATTACTTCTTTTAAAATCCCCAACAAAATCAAGCATTCAACCATTACACTTATCCCTAAAAAGCTCAAATGATAAATCTTTTGAAAATTACAAGGCAATATCACTTTATAATACCGCTTATAAGGTCATTTCCAAAATCCTTGTTGACAAACTCAAATTTATCCTTCCCAACATTATCCATCATACTCAAGCCACTTTTATTTTTGGTCAGGTTATTATTGATAACATTATTCTTGCCAGAAAGTGCTTGTATTGTTTCAACTCTTAAAGTCATTCCAAGAAATTATGTTCTAAAATTGATCTTATAAAAACTTTGAAATAAAGTTGATCGAGCCTTGTACAATTCAAGTTCTTTTTTATCACCATTAATAATGAATAATAAAGATATTTCTCATCTTCATCAAGTTTCAAGAAAGGGTGATCTCTACCCTCTTATAATTAACATAAATACTTTTTCATAACTTATAGTCACGCGGTCTTTATGATTCAATTGATACTGAATCTAATGCTTCTCATCTACTATATGAGAATGATCTCATTATCCTTCAAACTGTTAATCCATCCTCTATTAAATGTTTATCTGATGTCTTACTCTACTTTAGAAAAAAAAAAAAACAATCTTTGTGCCAAGTTTTCTTCTCCAAATTGGTGGATATCCATTCTAATGAGTGACATACTTGGATTTTAGCACAAATCCATTTTATTATAATACCTTGGCATCATAATTAACTCCACTAAACTCAAAGCTACTGATTTTCCCATGCTTATTGATAGTTGCAACTTTGGGTAAGCGGATGGAAACAAAAATCTATCATTTTTGTTGGCATGTTTCAATTAGTTAAAATTTACTATCTTGAGTTGTATTTATTACTGGTTTAGATCAGCTATTATACCAAAAAGTTTGAGAAAAAATATTTCATCATTAATATATAGCTTTCTACATCACATTGGGCAAAGAAAAAATTGCACAACAATACTTTGAGCACAACTTAAAGATTAAGAAGTATTAGGCTTCACTAGCCTGGATGTTACTAATCTTATACGTAAAGCAAAGACTATTTGCAGAAATTATAAATCTCACTCATACTTTTTTTTTTAAATTCTATCTTAGATCTCATAGATCACTATGGTTTAAACTAAAATACAATGCTACATTTTTTTAGAAGCTCTTAAACAATTAGTCACAAGGATCAGAAGCTTTCTACCTTTTTATGTCAGTAATAATAATAAGCTCTTTTTCTTATCTTTGACTTAATAGTTTTTCTTACCTTTGATATCCAACAAATCGTGGAACACAATTGCCTTTAAAATTTTTCACGCAATAAACTATTATTGAAATTTTTAATGATGTGATTCCACTCTCTATCACTTACTATTAATATAGCTGACTGCGTTGCCACAATATTAATATTTTCAACTTCTGTGAACTACATAATTATGTAACTGCTGTGTTATGTTCCATGCATTCTACATCCAAATACGCTTGGATGTTATATTCCACTTTCTACAAACTCACTAGATACTTTAAGCTTAATGTTATTTACTTGGGATTCAACCGATAGTCAACATATAACAACGACTGTCTTGGGTTTCTTTGGTGTCTTTTATAACTATGGTTTTGACAATCTTTATACTATTTAATTGCTACTAGGAACTTAAATAGATGACATGTTGCCTAGTACCGAATTTGACATATCTCAGTTGTCTTTGAAATCATTTTATTATTTCTCATTATTATTATGCAGCCTTTATGCTATTTAGGTGGCTCTATCAGGTTATGTGATGTTGAAAATACACACAATTATAGTTGTTTATACATAAATCCTTTATGCTTAGATCCGTGAGACCAATATTTGTTTGGTGATAAGATTTATGCTGTGTCCTAGGGCTTATTTTGTGCTTACTACTTGGTTATTTGTTCTCGATTATCCTATATAAAGCCCCCTTTATTGCTCTGGTGCCATTAGCCTCTTTTTCATTTTCCTATGATCAGTTTTGAGTAACATTCTAGTTTAAAATGTCTCTTTGGAGTTTATAGTTTTACTTGAGACTTGACTATATTTTAGGTTTTATTTTAATGTTGATCAAATGTAGCTCTTTTTACCATCAATGAAATGCTGAACATGACTCATTTTTCCAGAAAAAAACTGACTAACAAACAAACACAAACAATATTAAAATGTATATCAAATTTAAAATAAAAGGCACTAAAATTATTTATTTATACTTTAAAATTAAGTTCAAAGTGACTCCATATACAATCTTATCATCTAAATTCTTTAAGGGAAAGATGATAAATTTGTTCTCAAAAGATATGCTAAATTCTTACTGATTTGATTTTATATACTACACAACAGTAGATGCAGATTTCATTGTTTATTTTAATCAATTAAATATTAATTTAACAAATAAAAAAATCATTTAAGGTGAAGCTCATAATTATTTTAAAGAATAATTTGCCATCCACTCGCCTGTTATCATTCAGCCTCGATAAACTAAAGTTTATTATTATTATTTTTTTAATATTTTTTAATATATAGCTCGTAGTCCATTAGATTTTGCAATTTTATAATTACCACCATGTTGACTATGTCGACGCCATTTTCTGCTCAATTTAAGTTGATTAGCCTTCAATAATTTGGTCTAATCTGTAAATATTTATAGATTTTCTCATAAAGTATATAAAAATATATGTATCATATCAAAATACGTCAAAAAAAGATTATTGTTTATGAGTTAGAAGACACTGAGAAGATCATTAATTTGTGTGCTGCAGTGCATTCCTTTGTTAATCCTCATAACAAGCTGTCAAACTTTCACAACAACTAGTAAAATTGCTTACTTAAGCAAGACTATTCACCTAATAAGTTGATTTGGTAGGTACTTAGAACACTCACCAAGCCTCAGCTTTTACAAGAAGAACACATCTTGGGTTACCCACAGCTATTTCAAAGCATAAACTTTGTGCGTCATAATGATTTATTAGTAACCTCTTTCACCATCTCATCCAATTACTCTATTTTACGGGGTTTGTTTTGGAACAACTTTTTGTCAGCTTTGTTGTGCTTCAAATGGTCACTACAATTTTGTTTGAGGAACTATTTTGTTATTATTTAGTAGAAGTTTTTATGGTAAAAAATCTTTTTTTTTTTTTTCAATATGATATGTTAAAGAACTATTTTTTGTTTTTTTTTGAAAAAATATATATATTTAAAATTCAAACCATAACTTTCTAAAAAGTTATTCTCTACCAAAACTTTACGACCACCTTTTAAAAAATTACAATCTCTTATAAGATACACTTAATCCTTGTTTGAGAAGACAATTAAGCTTTGTTCAGTTAAATGTACTTTCATTTGGTAATTAAAGCAACATCTATCGAAATTATTTCTAAGAGGGTGACAATTTTTCATCATTTTAAATCACATATGACAATGTCTATTCTATACATCTGACTTTTAAAATAAACGACGAAGCTCCTTCAAACAAACATTTAATATCGATTTACACCACAATTTTTTCTTTTGTCCACCATGTTCAACATCACCCCCACCTTTCCTTCCCCATATTATTTAAATTTCTAAAATGCCCAACCATATTACACATATAATAAATAAAAATTCATCTCCCATAATTGATAACTGAGATATCACCCACTACCTCAAGACTCACTTCATCCAACCATCGTATATATAAACTCACATACATCCCACATGAAAACTTATCTCCTCTCCCTCAGAGTTATCGATAAGAATATGTTGTCTTCTGGGTTCGACAGCCCCTCCCCCGCTCCAAAGCTCAAACTTTTCGGCTATCCCATGCCGGAAAACTCTGACTCAGCACTGGATCAAACGGCCATCCTTCTCCCCGACCACACCCCCGGCTCCTCCTCCTCCTCCTCCTCTTCTACCACCACCACCTCTGGCGCCGCAGCCGCCACCGCCGCCACCGAACCTCGCAAGTACGAGTGTCAGTACGAGTGTCAATACTGCTTCCGCGGCTTCGCCAACTCCCAAGCTCTCGGCGGCCACCAAAACGCCCACAAAAAAGAACGTCAGCATCTCAAACGCAGTCAGCGTCATCCCCCGCCCTCTATCCACGTGGCGCTAATCCAATGGTCTCCGCATTCTCTCCCCCTCCCCACCTTCTTCCCGACTCCTCCCACTGGGTTTACTTCTCACGTGCCGCCCAGCCTTTACACGTGTCTCACGGCTGCGTGTTTCCTTCCCCTGCTCAGGCCGACGGTCCTGTTGTTCACAGAACCCGCCCGGCCGTCGCTGGTTCGGTCTCACAGAACCGGTTTTCGTCGCCGACAGACCAGGCCGGATCGGACGACTCGTTCGGGTTGGATCTTCAACTCAGCCTCGCTCCGGCCGGGTTTTGAATCGTTTGGCCGTCTCTCCTTCGTTTCATTTTGAACCCTGTACATTTTTTATTTTATTTTATTTTTTTCTAATTCGTTTTGATTTTGCATAATTTATTGCTTTTTGCAAATTTCAACTTTTTATTTTTATCCCGGGCTTTAAATTGAATATAATGAATCAGTCTTCGCCTATCCTTTTTTCTTTGGAAATTATGTTAGAAAATTGTCATTATAATTTAAAACATGTTATATATATAGG